TCTCTGTAAAAAATCAATAAAATGTATTTAAAAAAAAAAAGAATACATACGCATGTGTAAGTGTGTGCATAGATAATTTGCCTCCATGTGTGTAGGAAATCTATGGAAAGACACACAAAACTCTGGTGAAATTGGCTGCCTGTCTCCGGAAAAGGTAACGATCGCTTTGGGAAAGGTGACGAGGGGAGGCTTGTATTTACCATAATCTCCTTTGTGCTCTTTGAGCCTTTTCGCCATGTGTGTGTGGTGACTGTTGAAAACAGCCAAGATCACTCAGGAGTAGAAATAAGCAGTAGAAAGGGCAGTGAGCCTAGAGAACATCAAGTACATTCAAAGCCGCCATCATACACCCACGCTCTCTGCTCTCTGCTCTCTGTCAGTCCTGGCCGGGGTGATGTGTGTGCTCCCAGAAGCCCTGGGGCGAAGGCTGAACTTAAGGGGAGGGTCTAGAGTTCAAGACCGAAGGCAAGGGTGTCAGCTTCAGCTCTCAGAGCCGGGGATCGGCCTGCTCTATGGATATGTAGAGCCAGCTGTTTCCCTGAAGCGAATGTCAGAAGGAAGGAAAGGACGGCGATTTTACCTGGAGAGGAACCACTCTGGCCATCAGATGATCAAAATATCGATCCACCGCTTGGACAAAGCCCTTGTCGGTTGTCCTCAGTCTCAGCTCCGGGTCCTGCAGTAACCAGCTGGGGGCAAAAGGTGACAAGCTCAGTGCTTGAGACGGGAAGGCAGGAGGCGGGAGGGGGCAGGCCGGGCCCTGCAGGTCCGCCAGCTCCTTCCGGAGCTCTCTCCAGCCCAGCTTTACGTCTTCTGCTCTCCTGCAGCCCTCAAGGGACCTGGAAGATGCTCTCTGGACCGTCCTACTGGGCTGTCCGACCGACAAGTGTCGGGGTGACAGTTCCCAGCTTAGGAGGAGCGGCAGCTCCGTCACGGCCCGCACACCCACATCTTAGTGAGGGGCTCTTTAACCTTTCATTGACTGCTCGCCTCCATTCCTTTTCAGTTCATTCAAAACCTTTGTCTGGCCCTAGCTGGTTTGGCTCGGCCCTAGCTGGTTTGGCTCAGTGGTTAGGGTGTTGGCCCGTGGACTGAAGGGTCGAGGGTTCCATTCCGGTCATGGGTACATATCTCAGTTGCAGGCTTGATCCCCGGCCCTGGTCAGGTATGTGCAGGAGGCAACCAATCCATGTGTATCTCTCACATCCATGTTTCTCTCACATCCATGCTTCTCTCTCGCTCTGTCTCTACCCCTCTTTTCCACTCTCTCTAAAAAGCAATGGAAAAAATATCCTCAGGTGAGGATTAACCAAAAAAACACACACAGCTTTTTCTTGAGCCCTGGCCAGTGGCTCAGTTGGTTGGAGCATCACCCTGCACACCAAAAGGTTGTGGGTTCGATCCCCGGGTGGGGCACCTACAGTCAGGGCACTGGGGCACATATGAGGGCACGTATGATGTTTCTTTCACATCGATGTTTCTTTCTCTCTCTCTCCCTTCCTCTCTCTTTCTCTCTGTCTCTTTCTTCCCCTTCCTCTCTCTTTCTCTCTCTCTAAAAATCAGTAAAAACATACCTTCAGGTGAGGATTAAAAAACAATCAAAATAAAACACCTTTTCCTGGAGCCCAGTGTATGTACCTTAGGCACAGGGTTCCATCTCTTCTGAGACCTGAGCTTCCAAGCGCCAGGACGCCTCCCCAGTACCCAGGTCACCTGTGTGGGGCGGGGCCTGCAGCTGAGCGGCCCAGGGCATCCCTGCTTTGCTAAAATACCCCTTCCTTCACGGCCAGGCCTCTGCTGCTCCTGAGCCGGATGGGAGAACACGCTCATCCCGGAGGAGACAGAGCCTTCACTGAGCACCGGGAGGAAAGTGCCCACCCGGAGCCGAGCCGTGGGCTGCACACACCTGGCAGCTGTGGAGTGAACAGGAGTGGGTGCCTGGGTGCTCAGCCTGTACTCAGCTGTCTGCACTGAAGGCCGGCAGCACAGAGGAGAGAAGGCAAAGGAAAATGAGGGGGAACAAAGGGGAGCTGAGGTCCCTCAGCTCAGTGGAGAACATGGTCTTCCATTAACAAAATAAGGGAAAAGCCAGGGGGTAGGGGGTCCTAAGAGCAAGTCCAGAGGTTGTCAGAACCCCCTTCCGCTCTGGAAAGCTTCCCACCCCGGACAGAGACCGGAGACGGAACTGGAAGAAAGAGATGTGACCTCCCGATGCTGCCTCTCCCGCCCGGGCGCCCACAGCACGAGGGCCAGCTCTCAGGCCCCGCATCTATGACCAGGACAAGGATTACAGTGGTGCTCATAACTCACCAGGCCACCGCCGGCCTTCCCCGAGAACACCGGGCTCCAGGCTGTCAGATTCCAGCTCTACTTTTAGTAAAACAAACCATCACAGCCCTCCCCCCACAACCCCTCACCTGGGCAGGCCGCCGAGGTCAATCTCGCTGCAGATGTAGGGGCCCGGACGCAGGATCACCCACAGCCCGACCTCCGCGGCCATCCACACAAAGGCCCTGGGAAGGTCAAAGACGTCCACTCTGAGGACATCCGAGCCGGGGGGTGACAAGCCAGCACACGCCACAGGCGGCAGAGCTACCCGGATCCTCTGCTGGCCTGCCCTCCTCTCAACCAGAAACCCGTTGACGGAACAGGAAGAAAGAGATGTGACCTCCCAATGCTGCCTCTCCCGCCCAGGCGCCCACAGCACGAGGACCAGCTCTCAGGCCCCACATCTGTGACCAGGACAAGGATTACAGCGGCGCCCATAACTCATGGGGCCACCGCAGGCCTTCCCCGAGAACACGGGCTCCGGGCTGTCAGATTCCAGCTCTACTTTTAGTAAAACAAACCATCACAGCCCTCCCCCCACAACCCCTCACCTGGGCAGGCCGCCGAGGTCAATCTCGCTGCAGATGTAGGGGCCCGGACGCAGGATCACCCACAGCCCGACCTCCGCGGCCATCCACACAAAGGCCCTGGGAAGGTCAAAGACGTCCACTCTGAGGACATCCGAGCCGGGGGGTGACAAGCCAGCACACGCCACAGGCGGCAGAGCTACCCGGATCCTCTGCTGGCCTGCCCTCCTCTCAACCAGAGACAGGGAGAGTGAAGGGAAGGCCGAGCCCTCACCCCTGCAGAGCAGGTCATCCTACACCTGTGGTCACAGGCCTGAGGCCCTGCAGCTGGCTTCTCACCAGCTCCCAGCCCAGGACCATCTGCACAGCCCACCGGGTCATGAGGAGGGGCGGGGGTGTCAGACAGGGGACGGGGTCCTCACATGAACCTGACCCTGAAGTGAAGGGAAGGCCGAGCCCTCAACCCTGCAGCTGGCTTCTCACCAGCTCCCAGCCCAGGACCATCTGCACAGCCCACCAGGTCATGAGGAGGGGCGGGGGTGTCAGACAGGGGACGGGGTCCTCACATGAACCTAACCCAACCACCTTGCTGCCTCCAGGGCCAGCCCCCTCCCAGCACGGGTGGCGGGACCCCACTGCAGAGCAGAGCTGACAGGGGACCAGGCTCCTCTGGGCTGCAGTGAGGAGGGTGGGCTCAGGGTAGGCCTGGGCACCTGGGAGTAGCAGGTTCCCAGCTGGAGAGCACCTGGCCCCGGTGCAGAGCTGGCACAGGGCCCTGAGAACAGCTTCCAAGCAGAGCTGAGAGGCCACGATGGTCCCTCATCAACCCCTGCCAGCCCCTCCCTGCCCCCAGGCCCAGGCCCAGGCCCAGGCCAGGTCACAGGAGCAGCAACAGCACGTACTCCAGATCCAGGTTCCCGGAGAAGTCAAATGTGCCTCTCTGTGGCTCGTGGAGGTTCCAGGGAACGTAGCTGTGGTAGGAAAGAGGGAAGTACAATAAGTATCTTCTTATTTCTTTCCTATCGAGTCCTAGGTCAGCCCCAAACCCAAGCCAAAACCTAGGGTACTATGTTGGAGCAAGTTGAAGTTTCCCATGGCAGTTACACCTATATGACATGAACAATAATTATTTTCAATGGTTTCTTTCTCTGCCACCCAGTCGTGATCTAAGCTGTCAATAATCCTGATTCTAGATTCCTGGGATGGATGCATTAATTATCCCACTCACCACCCATTCTTTTAATACCCATAAAAAATGTGAAGAGAAGGGAAAAACACAAATGTCTACATATGCCCAATAAGGTATTGCTAGGAATTAAAACAAGAATAGAGAACTCAGCAACCAACTGATGGAGCATAGACATCCTCAACAAACACATGCAGTGGTTATAAAATAGAGCTGGAACAGGTGCCCACCCTGAGCAGGCCGACCCTCCGGGCCTCGGCCTCTTTCCCACGGAGGGGAATCCAACTGTCCATCTCCCAGGGCACTCAGGAGGAGGAAGCGATTTTGCGAAATTGCTTAGGAAATGCCCAGCCACCAGTAAACCCTAAGTACACGTTACCGTTGGTCACCAGACCATAATCGTGTTCCATGGCGCGCTAAATGTGTGCTGTGACATTTACAGTTCATCCTGTCGAGTTTCTACTTAAATTCTTCTGCAGGACTCAACTGGCCTTACACGTCGTGTTGCAACCATCATTGAAGTACACGTACATGCCCTCGTTGGGAGGGGCATTTTCCATAGAAATAAGATAAAGGTTTTATCCCACGGAATCATCCGCACAAGCCAACGAGGCAACTGCTACTCTGCCTGAGCAGCGGAGACAGCAGGGCCTGCGCTGGGATGGCTGGAGGCGGGGCTGGGACTGAGACCAGGTCTGTCCGATCCCTAAGCCGCTCCCTTTACTCCCTTCACCTTCACTTCAGTGGCCCGTGTTTCCTTAGATGCTCATACTCTCCTTCCTCCACATGTGCATGTCCGTGTGCACACACGAGAACTGTGGTAGGAAGTCTGAGAGGTAGGGGGCCCTCATCATAAAAGGCTCCTGCTGCACGGGGCTCATTGGAAGGTCACTGGGCCGGGCTCCTGACCCAGCTCAGAGCCAGAGACAGACACCCTATCCCCGTGGACCCAGAGGGCGGGCAGGCGGACTCACGTGGTGACAGTGTTGAAGCCGCAGGCCCGCAGCTTCAGGAGGCGGTCTCGCCAGGACCCCCTGGGCACCCGGAAGTAGTGGATGGAGCCCCCGAAGATGAGGAACTTGTGCCCCTCCAGTGTGAAGTGCGGGTTACTCTCAGGCGTGCTTTGCGTCTGGAGTCCCACCGTGCGGTCCTTCAGCTCCAGAGGGGTCAGATGGGACCAATTAAACCTGCAGAGAGAGAGAGGGAAAGAGAGAGAGAGAGAGGAGATGAAGAGAGAGATAAAGAGAGAAAGAGTGGAGAAGAGAGAGAGAGAGGTGGGCAGAGAGACAGAGATGAAGAAAGAGGAGAGACAGCCGAAGACCAGCGGGAGACGTTCTTGCTAGCAGGACACACTAGCTCTGTCCACGCTTCTGATACTCTTTTCTCCAG